ATAAGACTTTAGTCAGAGCACCAGAAGTTCTCCTTTCTACCTATTATGCACTATTCTCAGGTTAAACTGATTTCTATAAAGAGCATTGAATAGGTACATCTCATAACAGCATGGTTGGCTGAATAAATTACGGAGATTAATGAATTTAATTAAATGACTGAATTTAAGCAAATACGCAAACAGTCTGGACATGATGTATAATAAAAATTAAAACAGTCATTATTTATATCATGGACGAAAATGCAGTTTGTATATTTGATTTATGGACACGGGGCAGCTCTCTTCTACTGGACTCGTGAACTGATGAATTTGCTTTTTTTCCTCAAGATGTTTTACCATCAACCAATTTACTTAGGATCTTACGAAATGCTGTTTAAATGTTACATTTATCACTTAACTGGAAAGATTGTATTTACCCATAGTGACTAATACTACCAACATAACTGGTCATTCTTATACAACACAGGGGAGGTCATAACCTCTAGATATTTTATCTGGTCTATCAGTAAATAATATTACTATAATCTACACTCTTGCACAATGTGAATTTTTACAGCAATATCTCCCATGGGCAGAGCAAGTATTATCTTTAGAGAGCAACAGACAAACAAATGCAGTTACAAAAAATCAACTTATTTGGTTTCTGAATCAGATGTTGTGCAAAAATATATAGGCACAATATAAATGAATTTTTTTAAAAGTTTCTGCGTTAAAATATAAAGTAGAAAACATATGGCATGTCTGAATACCATAATTTCAATACAAGATAAAAAAAACGATTATTAAGTATTTCTTTTAATTTCAAGGTCTTTATTAAGCACAATTTCTGTATGCATCTTTGTTAGATACTTAACACATTTTTCGAAGCATGGTCTATTTGCTTCAAGATTTGTGGTCTGGGATGGCCTGGTGGCTATGACACTCAACTCGCAATATGTGGGTTGAGGAATAAAACCTATCTTTGAAGATGTTAATCTTTTCAGCTATGGGAAGGTTATAATGTAATGGTAATTTCCTCTATTTTTTGGTCAAAAGTTGGCTGTGGATGGTGTTGACTACCTATTATTTTCTAATAACGTGCAGCCTACTAAGGCGTTTAAAAGAAAATTGCCTCCAGACTCCAGAAGTCTCAATGACTGGCTCAAATGCCTCTAAAGTGAATTGCCATGTATTTATTTCTACACACAAGCCTGCCAATTGTAATCAGACATGTTGCAATAAAGGTGATTCCATGTAGTGTTCAATGGTCTAATATCCCAGCACAACCTTTGACCTATATTATATTATAACATCCAGTTCAGATTCCATCTGTATAGAACACATTTGGAACCATCTGTAGAAGTTACTTAAAAATTAGACTACAACCTTCAGATTTCATCAGTTCTTTGGGCTTTTGAAAAAAAAAGATAAAAATTAGAAGAGAGACATAATTGAGAGCATGCCTTAATATATTTTCTTTGGAAACAGATGCAGATCACACATTTCTTAAATAAGTTTTAGATAGGGGTCATTTTTCTGCTGGAACAAAATATTGGCCTAATGACACAAAAGCAAAAGAACTTATTCGTTCTCTGGAATGTGTTCCTTTATGATATTTTGATATGCATAGGTATTTTGCTGACAAGTCTCACAAACAATGCACATAATGCAGTCAATGTCTCAGTCTTTAACAGTTCACAGAACACAATGATGGTCAAACTGCTTATCAGCCTGCTTCCATTCTATGCATACATTACAAAACTTTCAGAACTGAACAATGGACTAATTTCGATTCTGGCATACGAATTAACACAGTAGCATAGACCAAAACAAACTAAAATTGTGATATGTTAACAACTCTGTACATTGTTTTGCTCCCTTTACAGTTTATACAGTGGTTACCACTTTTAAGCAACAACCTTTCGGAATTTTACAATATGCATGATCTCCACACTGGTGTAGTTCCTGCTTTCATTTCCATATTGGGCTTTAAGCTCCAAAAGAGGATGAAGCAGCTTTCACGACTTCATCAAGATTCTGGTGCTGATGGAATACACACCAACGAATAATGATGCCAAATATTCTCGCTTATGTAGGAAAATATGCACTACAATTTATACTTCCAGGTCGAGCTAGTTTTTAAATCAATTACTTACAAATTGTTTAAAGACAATTTTAAGCTAGAAATAGAGTCCCACAAATGTTTACTGTATACTAAGTGTTGAGGTGAGCTGGAGAGAGGTTAAAAGACACCTCCCTTTTATCTCGACTAAGTTGCTCCAGAGGGACTTTATATAAATCGCCAACCATGGGAGATGACAAAAATATGGTACCCTCAAATATACATTGGAAAACTAGGGTGAGAAATTTTGATATTGGACCTCACGGGTCCTGGATCTAGTTGAACCTCTAAGGGACAACCTGCTGGGATGCACCATTTGGCGTTTTAGGTCTATAGGTATTAAAATTTTGGTATTGTGGGTCTTAATGTTTGTTGCACCTCTCGAGGTAAACTTACACAGATGCACCACGTAGTCATAAAAGACAATATTATCAGGGTTACCTGTTATGTAAGTATTCCTTCTTCCTTGCTAATGAGATGGAATGGAAAAAACTATAAAGAGAAAATTCACTGTGTTGCTTTTGGTTCATGTCCAAATAAATGCACAGAAATCGAGTTCATAATCGTGCATAACACTAAAAGAACACTGCATCAGACTTGAGGTCTCCAGTAGTGGGGCTGGCCTGCCACAGTCCTTCTCTCCTGTCAGATCACTTGGAGTACAGTTGAGCTTCTGTGGTGGCGTGGACTCATAGGTAGTAGTTGCACTGTTGTTAAACCTTGAGATCAGGGCCGTCTCCGATGACCTGAAAGATACAGGAGCTCTCTGGGATCCACTCTTTGGAGAATTCCTCTTTACTGAGTCTAAGGCAATTCTGATGTTTGTGATTATGTTAGTGACATCTTCGCATGCTCACTGAAATATACCCCTGCATCTGTTTACCCAGATCTGCCCTTTTAACTCTCCTGGTAAGTACAGAAATGAAAAAACATGAGAACAGGGTAACAGAAAAGTATTGTACCATACATGATGTACTTGATCTGAATATGAAGACGAATTTTCTCCCATAGAGCTGCAGAAGTAGCATAATCATACATAGCATGATGCACAATGCCGAATGGGCAGATGTTTACTCTTTTTATTTTACATGTTTATTTTTATGTTTACATTTGATTTAAATTCCTTTTCTTGTTTCTTAATACTGGGATGAGTTTCTTAAGGTAAAATTTAAAGTATGTTGATGTTGTGTTGGCAGGTCTGACTGTGTCGTTAAATATTCTATTATGATGTCCTAGCTGGTATGTTATAAAACGTGTTTCTGTGTGTTCTGGTTATAACATTGTGCAGGTGAATTTAGTCCATATTGCTGTAAAGTATTTGTCTATTTCTGTCATGTCTAATCCCCCTGTTTCTAGGGCGAGGATAACTAATTCTCTTTTAACTAATTCTGGTTTATTTGACCACACGTATTTGTAAAATGTATTTATTTATTTATTTTATTCTAGCTGCTGGTGGAGGGTATGTTTGTCCTACATATGTTAATTTAGTTAAAGCTTTATGTTTAATGGCCTGAGTTTCGCGTGTGAATTTCGCCTCAAGCTACACGAGGGCTATCTGAGTTAGCCATCCCTAATTTAGTAGTAAAAGACTAGAGGGAAGGCAGCTAGTCATCATCACCCACCGCCAACGCTTGGGCTACTCTTTTACGAACGAATAGTGGAATTGACCATCACATTACAACGCCCCCAAGGCTGAAAGGGCGAGCATGTTTGGTGGGACAGGGATTCGAACCAGCGACCTACAGATAGCTATGCCAGGCCTCTGCGTGAACGATGATCTTTTGCTCAAGTACTGAGTTTCCTTAATGAACTACCATTGATTTATAGAAGAAAATATAGTATTAATTACCAGGACAAAAAGGACAGGGGACAGAGGACACCCCTGTCTTACTCCAGAGCTGACAGGAATTACCCTGGATAAATAACCATTGATATTCAATGTGGCATTGATATCTGTGTATTCTGTTGTAACCCAGTTTACTCTTTTTTGCTGGGAAATTGTATTTTCTTAAGAAAAGATTCCATAGACATCCTTGAGGTTATGATTGGTCCATGGAGTGCAGGGCCGGCACTTCTGGATAGGCCGAGGGGCGGCAAAAAATTAAATATGTCTCTGTTGAATACAGTAAAGCTATCATGAATTTCTAGAAGATTTTCATAAATTTAACAGCTGAACGTTCGTGAGGGTTTGACAGCCGAAAGTTTAAATTGCCGTGAATGATCCTAAACGTTCATGTACTAACGTTTCACGTTTTCAGAACCTATTATCTCTCATTTTTCAAATTCCGAAACTTTGCACACACTTTGGCACTACTAATATAGCCTTCTAGCGTGTTTCTGTATTTATTTTCATCGAATTTCCTGTATGTTAAATGCTGCAGGGGATTTCGAAGACTTGTGGTAGGGCAGGAGAGTGTATCTAACTGTGTGTGTTAATGGGTGCTCTAAAACACGTGTGTGTGCTTTATAAATCTTTATAATACGTTTCACAGTGGTTTTTCTGAACATTAGCTTCTATTTACATTTTGAGATAAGACAACATTTGGAAAGCCTGCGGCGTTAAAGGAAGGGTGTTCATGCAATCAGTAGCTAAACCTTTTTTAGGTATTATATCTGCCTGATATCGTTTGACTCATCGTTTTTATACAGTTTATTATTCTGAGTACTGCGAATGAACTAATGTGAAATGATGGGAGGAACAGCCGATGTTTTGTGAACTTTACTTGCATTCTGTTTATGTTGTTTTCTGTAAATATTTATAGTTGTTAATGGGGTTAGTACAGTTTAATCTATTTTCATTAATTGTTTTATAATAGCATTACGTTTGATAAGAGTCTTCCGCAAGTAGGCTAAACAGTATTACCTTTAATGACGATTCTTTTTTTTTTGTCTCTGACAGTTTGTAGTCTCGTTGTCCACAAACGATGTCATGAGTTTGTCACCTTTAAGTGTCCGGGCGCAGACAAAGGCGTGGACTCTGACGTAAGTACAAGCAGATTGGTTATATATTTTTTTTAGTTTACCGATATACTACATTCAAATATTACATGGCAGGAACAAGGACACTGACGTGAGTGTGATCTGTTATTGTTGTCTATTTTCTATATACGTTTCTTTACAGTGATAGATGCATCTGATTGAAGCCCGATAAATTGAAATAAATAAGGGGTAAAAAAAAAGCTCTGTCCAAAGATAAACTAATCACACGTATCAAATTAATTTAGTTGTGAATTTTAAAGAACCGTTGTCAGAGCAACAGCAAATATTAGCTAATCAACTGTATGAAGTAGAACTTATATATTGTTCAATTGAATTATAAAATAGTTTTTTCGAATTTTAGATATAATTATGGTTTGAGTTTCGTTTTTATTCCAAATAATGTGTACTTGCTGTAAACATAATTGCAATTTCTAGCTAGTCATTGTTTTACGTATGGCGTTTTGAGGACGATAAAAAAGGAGTCATATAACAAATGATAACTCCAAAAATTTTAATTACTGAGAAATAATTTTTGTAGTAACAAAGTTAACAAATAAACGTAATTTACAGTACAACTCGTGGTAACAGCTTTATCCAGTCAACGTCTAAACAAAAATCGATTGACTATTCCATCAACTACGACTAGTGTTTTTATGAAATGCCTAGTCATCAACTATTAGTCTAGATAACAATACTTCTTACAGGATGTGAATGAAAGTCGGAGGTGGTGGGAGGTACCTTTTAGAATGTCTTCAGAGAAACGAAATGCCTCTTTCATGTACCTACGGATTATTCGCGTAGCATTGCAAGTAGTTTCAGCAAATTTCTGTCGAAAACTGTCCCCTGGATCGAGTTTGGGCTTCCCGAGGTGTTGGAGGTAGTCGGAGGTAACTTTTAAAATGTTTTCAGAGAAACGAATTAACTTTTTGTGTATCTACGGACTCTCTGCGTAGCGGCTCAAGTATTTTCAGCAAATTTAGGTCGAAAACTGTCCCCTGGGTCGAGTTTGGGCTCCGCAAGATAGGTAGTCGGAGGTAGATTTTAGACAAAAAAAAAATCCTTTATCGTGTACTTACGGACTCTCCGCATAGTGGCGCAAGTATTTTCTTCCAACTTTTCGTGGGGATGGAACTCCACCCAGGGGACAGTTTTCGACCTAAACTGCCAGAAAATACTTGCGTCACTACACCTAGAGCTCGTAGGTACACGAAAAAGGTAATTCGTTTATCTGAAGACATTTTAAAAACTACCTCCGACTTTTACCTATTGCTCTTCTTACATTTTGTTTTTACTACTAATTTTAGACCATAGCTTGATTTAAATAATTTATTGTGTTAACTTTGTGCATCACGGAACAGTTGTGGGAAGATCAAAAATGTGTAGTTAGACTTATTTGTTTCATGTTATTTATTTCAGCGCTTTATATAAGATAATTTGAAAAGTAGAATATAACCACTATTAACTTGATGAATTACATAATTTAACTCTGTCGTACATTCATTCCATTGGATATTCAAACTGTTGTATTGACTAGTTGAGAAACAAAACATAGGAGATTCAGTCACCATTATTTGTTACAGATACAACCTCACTGTTACAGATCTGTAGTAAAAATGTCTTACAGAAAAATAACTCTTGATTTTTTAGTATGTTGAACTTCGTATAATATGAGCAGCTTTTGAACTATAGTGAACTGGACTTTCCTCAGATGAATGAAATAAATACATATGCTAGGTATTATCTTACTCGAGGAGCACATTATTTTTTGGTCCTTAAGTTTTGTGGAGGTGTATATATATAAAGTGCTGAAAATACTGATGGAAAACGTCAGCAAAAAAATAAATAAATAAAATAAACGGAAAATACTTCGGGAATGCTACCCTTTATAATATGAAAATTAAATACCCTATTCACGTGCTGATAGCTTATATACTACTACTGGTCGCCATCCAACCAATTGGAAAGTGCCATAATAGTATAAAGACTACAACAGTAGAGACAGTCATACTATGCCCAGTAGTAGTAGTGTGTCGCAGTCATAGCTTAAACCACTTAAATACCACATGAAAAGTGTAAAAATTAAAATTCATGTAGTAGTCAAGAAAACTCTATGTGAAAAATATTGCGTTTCCAACTATCTCAAGGCAGTGGCCAGGTGGTTAGGGAGCTCGACTCGCAATCTGCGGGTCGCGGGTTCGAATCCCCGTTCCACCAAACATGTTCGCCCTTTCAGCCGTGTGGGTGTTATAAATGACGGTCAATCCCACTATTAATTGGTAAAAGAGTAGCCCAAGAGTTGGCAGAGGGTGGTGATGACTAGCTGCCTTCCCTCTATGCTTTCACTGTTAAATTAGGGATGGCCAGCGAAGATAGCCCACGTGTAGCTTTGCGCGAAGTTCAAAACAAACAAACAGTGTCAAGGTAGAAATTTTATGAGATAGAAGAAGGTTGAGCTTAGGTCTTGCCAATGAACTTGCTGTAAGTACAGGTGAAATTGTTATATAGAGACAAATACTGGCTTAAAGCGGTCTCAATGGACTGGAAAACCGCAGCTCAGAAGAAATAACAGAACCAAAAGGCTGAAATCCACATTAAGCCACAAACAATAGTAGAAATTAGTAGAGCTGAGATGTATGTTTTTTATAGGTGCATCCAATTTTTGATTGTTCAACAGCCTGTTCAATGGCAGAGAAGTGAAAGTTGTCACTGTCAACAACTACAGTGAAGCGTGGTGAGGGAACAGTACATGTAGATCTTGGTCCAGGATGCCATTCCCTCAGGAATAAGTACCATTAAGTGAATTTATCGTCTAACTGAACAATAATACCAAACATAAAACATATGTGTCTGTTTTTGGAATTTCGCTACTGAAGGGCTATCTGCACCAGTCGTCGCTAGTTTAGACGTAATAGACTAAAGATAAGGAAGCTAGCCAATACCACTCACGCCAGCTCTTACGCTACTTTTGTCAGACAGAATATTGAGATATGGTCGTCAGTTTTATAACTCACTTTCAGTCCGAAAGTGCGTAGCTCAAGTATATTATTTTTTCTTTTTTTTCGCGGAAAATATTTGTTTCTTTGTTGTTAAGCACAAAGCTACACAAAGGGCCATCTGTGCTTTGCCCACCATGGGTATGAAACCCTGTTTCTAGTGTTGCACGTTCAAAGACTGTGCCACTGGGAGGCACCCGGAAAAGGGACTCACACTTATGAACCTCGGAGATCCGTTGGTCCAATGATCTACGGTAAAGAGGCCTATAGAACACTCACGCTAACCAGTGATGTACGGTAAAGATGCCTATAGAACATTCACGCTAATCAATTATCTACGGGTACAGGGGCCTATAGAACACTCGCAACTAAGGCTTGGTCTTCAGAGTCTCAGTATGAATGTTTTTGGAACTGTTTAGGCTTGATTAAAAACTAGGATTAAAAGGCAAACAACCAAATTACTTGGCTGAGTTAACTGTGAGGTCTAATTATTTACATTTGAATAAAATGTATAGCACCATGAAAACAAGCTGTAATGTTCTGTTGAAAGCAAAGAGCTCACATAAAAATACTAAAACATCGTAGAACTTATTCTGTTTTAATGTTTAGCATCATTAAAAAATTCATAATTTAATTACCAGTACCCATTGTTTGTGACTTCTCTATTTGTTTTGCTTGTGTGTGTTTCGTTACTTCCATTACTGTATACGTTATACGTATCTGCTATATAATTCATTACTTGTTTACCTTAAGTATTAGGTATACAATGAAATTAATAATATGAGAATTTAAAATAAAATAGCATTTACATGTTTATAATATAATAATAATGCAATAATGTTTCAAAGCCAAAATTACTAATGTTATATCTTCATCAAATTGCATGATGAAATCAGACATAGAAAATGATAATGTGGGTCAAGATGGATTAGAATTATAATAAAGTTATGTAAAATGGAAGAAAAAGCTAAACATTATGCTCACCAGAAATATTGAGTGGCGAAGTAAATTGATGAGGCTGCAAAATAATTGTAATTCTACCAATTAATTCATCTGTCATACTCACTGTAGGTTTATACTATCGCTTCTCTTCACTCATTTTCTGCATATTAGATATAAACATACGAGGTTTGAAAACATGCGCATGTGACGGTCAATCCCACTATTCATTTGTGAAAGAGTAGCTAAAGAGTTTATGGCGGGTGGTGTTGACTAACTGTCTTTCTTCTAGTCTATCACTGCTAAATTAGGGACGACTACACAGATGCACTCGAAATTCAAAACAATCAAACTAAATTCAGTGAATTTGTCTTTTGTTTAACAAAGTATTTTCTTTTATCGTGAAACTTTCTTTTCCTGTCTCTTTCCTTACTTGAACTCAGTCAAAGTTACAATTCAGAGGTCAAACTGTGGGATCAATTTCCTGCTGAACCTTTGGTTACAGATGTCAGTTGCTACACCTAAATGTAGGAAAGCCGTGTAATTGAGAACACCTCAGAGTATGGTAATAAAATTGAAATTTTGGTGCCATGATAAAATAATCTATTTTTATCTAGTCTCTGAAGTTCTTTTGTTTTGTTTGTTGTTAAGCACAAGTCTACACAATGGATTATGTGTTCTGTGCCCAACGCGATTATCGAAACCTCATTTTTAGCATTATAAGCCCTCAGACTTAACCACTGAGCCACCAGGTGTTCTCTGAGCCTTGAAATTTGTGCTTATCCTTTTTTACTCTTGTTAGGCCTAGGTGTGAACTTTGAAGATCTTGGACATTACATTTTCCAGACAATAGACTTATAGTTTAAAGGTGAAGGTGGTTGCTGAAGGGCGGGTGTGATATAAAAATTTAGTAGTATATAGCAAAAGTCCACTCATGCAAAATACCCTGTCAACAGTTCTGCTGTAACAGTAGTTTCATGGAGGAAGACTATATCTCAGGATATTTCCTGCAGCCTTCCTATTGAATTTGAACTTCAGCAGACTGGACACGTGGATGAAGGTGATTGTGAT